GCATAGGCGCGATAAGAATGAAAATGGATAAACCGAGTTTACAAAGATTTCCAGCAAAGCTCCATAAATAGTGTAACAATAGGACACTGAGATGCTTGTAGAGAAATATTGTTTAATGTATTTTATTGTTTTTTTACAGAGAGGAAGGGAGAAGGATAGAGAGTCAGAAACATTGATGAGAGAGAAACATCAATCAGCTGCCTCTTGCACACCCCCTACCGGGGATGTGCCTGCAACCAAGGTACATGCCCTTGACCGGAATCGAACTTGGGACCCTTCAGTCCACAGGCCGATGCTCTATTCACTGAGCCAAACTGATTTCGGCTAGAGAAATATTTTAAACATACAGAGAGGATGGCATGAGACAACAGTGTATGGCAGATGGTAAAAAAACAAACAAAAAAACAAAAGAAGAGATTGAGATTCTGATCTGGTTTCTCATTCTATCTCCAACACCATACCCTAGCTAGGAAGAGTCCATTCATATTTGTATGGTTTGCCTGTTAAATTAGATTCAGTTTAATAGTTTAAAATATAACTACATATATTTATTTATACTGTACATATATAATTATCCTAAAATACACTTTTAAAAATACGTTTTTATTTCAGGGAAGGAGAGTGAAACATCAATGAGAGAAACATTGTACTCCCTCTCCTGGACTAAAGGTCTCAATACCAAACAGTAGTGGGAAAGGGAGCTGTCTGAAGAGGGATGTATGCATGTACATCAATAGGATAAATGTGTATTGTGTTGGATGGCATTGTTAATCAGACCACTTTAAATTATTAATTAAAATACTACAAGTACTTGGACTTCATTCATCTCTCAGTTAGTACATAAGAAAATTGGACACTTTATTTCAGTGCTTCTACAGTTCTGTTTTCTTAATATATTTTTTATTGATTTCAGAGAGAAATGGAAAGGGAAAAAGAGATAGAAACATCAATGATGAGAGAAAATCATTGATCGGCTGCCTCCTGCAGGCCCCACAGAGGGGATCAAGCCCTTACAGGGAATCAAACCATGACCTCATGGTTCATAGGTCGATGCTCAACCACTGAGCCACGCCAGCTGGGCTGTCTGTGTTTTCTATGCCTGTGTACGTGAGATCTTATGGGGACTGAAAGTGCAACAAGTGTGGCCTTGCAAACATCTAAGTATTGTATAAAACATTCAATACATCAGCAAGATATACCATCACGCTTTTATTTGGCAGCAATAGAAATGCATCCACGTTATAGTGCTTATTTTGGCTAAAGAGCGAGTGCTATTTTTCCGCTGCTGTAGTGTTTTACTTTTACATAAGTAAGTTAGTGCAGTCCTTACATTTAGGAAACAGACACATTTACTCATATCAGCCAAGTAAAGCTAATACATGGTTGTTCTCAAACTGCAAAACAATAACGTAATATAATCACTAGGAACAAAAAAAGGATATCCTTATTTCCATTAATCACAGATTATACAAGCTCCTATGCCTCATATACAGAGATATTTCTAAATTTGATTAAGCAAATAACCAAAAATTTGAATTTAGCCTAATTCATATAATCACTTTGAAATGTATATTCCAAATAATTTCCAATGTGTTCACATTGCAATAAAAGCAAATTATGTTATGAACATAATTTAAAATTTCTGATTCTGAAGTCACAGGAAAGTATGTTAAAATGTTACTTTGGCATTTCTATTTCATGTGTTTAAAAGAATGATAAAGTATTCTTTTGTAATGCAAATAATCATTCCTCAGGTAATCAGTTAAGTAGAAAATGTTTCATCTCAAGGCAAAAAAAAGTTGTAAATATTTTTTTATAGTCAGTTAATCCAACAAATTATTCTAACCATAGTAAATAATTGCAAAGAAAGAATATTACTTTATGAGAGTTCTTTGTAGCTGACTATAACAGTATGAAAAACTGCTTCTTTTTAAAAAGATAATCTCCTTTTGACATTTAACAATCATATTGTAAGTCGTAGAGAAAACAACAACTAGCCTGTTAAAGAAAAAATGTTGAGAATCCAAAACAGAAAAATAAAATTACCACATATAAATCACCTGAACATTTATCTGTTGTCTTCTTTCTAACACAAGGGAAAAGAATCCATTTTCTTAGGACTAATTCAATAATTTACATGGGGAAGTGGGTGGTAGACTCCTCTGGCAATGGCAATTTTCTGATAATGCTACCATGAGTAAATTTTTAAAAAATATATATTTTATTGATTTTTTACAGAGAGCAAGGGAGATAGAGAGCTAGAAACGTCGATGAGAGAGAAACATCAACCAGCTGCCTCCTGCACACCCCCTACCGGGGATGTGCCCTCAACCAAAGCACATGCCCTTGACCGGAATTGAACCTGGGACCTTTCAGTCCGTAGACTGACGCTCTACCACTGAGCCAAACCCGCTTCGGCCCATGAGTAAATATTAAACGGAGTGCATCCTAAAAGATTTTAAACTAGTGTAAATAATTTTTTTTTATTTTTAAAAATACTACTTTAATTGTTTAAGCCAATGTCAAGGCAAACTGAAATTGATGCATATGTATTAAGAACTCTTCTGTAGTCAATAATTTAAGTCAACATTTAATGACTTAAATTATTATCTAAAGAGTTAAAACAATTTTCAGAGATTTTTTTTTTTTAAAAGGTCAAGTTTCTCCTCTTACCATAGTTTTTTCCCTATAGGCATTACCTGAACTTCTGTCTGGTCACTCCTGACTCTTTGTTAAAGGCCACAAAGAAAGCATCTTACTCACGTAGTAGCTATTGAACTAACCAAAAAATTAATAAAATGGAAGCTCTTAATTAGACAAACCAACTTCTTGAATATAGACAACCTTTTCAAAAAGAAAAAGAAAAAAATAATATATTGATTTCAGAAGGGAAGGCAAAGGGAGAGACAGAAACATCGATGAGAGCGAATCATTGATCAGTTGCCTCCTGCAGGCCCTGCACTGGGGATTGAGCCTGCAACTTGGGCATGTGCTCTTGACTGGAATTAAACCTGGGACCCTTCAGGCTGACACTCTATCCACTGAGCCAAACCGGCCAAGGCTGGGCAACTTATTATTGTTTTTTTTAAAAGGTGAAATATAAAAGCAAAAAAGAAAAGAAAAACACCTTTTAGAAAGCCACTCATCTTACCTGATGAAATAAATTACTCAATTATCTTATGTAGTAGCAGCATTATTAAATAGTGCAATTTTTTCAGAATAGTTTTCAAACAAAATCTTCCTCAAATAAAAGAGTCCATTTAGCCTCCCCAAATAGGAAAACTAATATAAGCAATTACTGTTTTGTCTACACAATAATGGGAATGTGTGTGCACACATGTGTGTATGTGTTTGAATCATTCAATGCCAATGATATCTCAATAAGAAACTAGAAGCACAAGATTTAAATTAAAAAGTAAGCATTACATAATGCAATTTTTATCTTTGATGCTTCTAATCATACTCCTCCATCAATAATCTAAAGTATAAATAGCAAATTCTTAAATTAAGAATATATGTAAGAAAAGTCAAGGAGCTATATACTAAAAAAAAGCATTAGAGCAATATTTCATATTTTTAATGCTATAATCTGTACATTATGGTACAGAGTATATGCAAATGGAGAATGATAATGCTGAATCTCAGTTTCTGTAACTATTGTTACCCAAACATGGCACACACACAGATTTAAAACCTTAAAAGATATCCTCCCACCCCACTATTCATTTTCTATTCCTTAAGCAGAAACTAGGCACTTTAATCTAAAAATGCATTCTAAAAAAATATATTTAAATCCTTCTGGGTAACTCACTAAAATGAATAAAGCCTATTTTAAAAACTAAATCAACAAATCTAATCCATTTATATATTTATATAGCCACTCCAAATAAGTGGTATATAATTTAGACACAACTCTAAAAGTATCTAATATACTTTTAAAGAACTTTACTTATATGGACAACCCATTTGTTCATACATTTATCCTAAAGGACATGAAATATATGTCTATACCATTAAAAATATTTTGTTCTATATTCACGGAGGGGAAAAAAACCCTTCTTTAAAACCACACTAAGATTCAAAGTATGAATAATATTTTTTAAATATGGACATGTTTACTAAGTTCTCTGTGAGAACAACTAAAAACCAGTTTTAGAGAAGGAGAAAGGAGAAATGACTTTATTGTATTAAGATTAATAACTTCTGGTGTTGGGAGAGAGTCTCAAAACTACACAGAAAAAATTTTAATTGCCTGTTATAGTTAATAAATGTTATCTTTTTAATCGATATTCATTGAAGATAAAAATGCTCAAATCTATAAACCGATAAAATAAATTTCTTAATCTCTCTATTGTAACATAGGACCAACAATATATTTTGGGAACTGCAGTAAACCTAATATAAACTTCTCAGTGTCAATTCATTTAAATGTTTTACAATTTCTATGATTTAAATACATAAGCAAATGCACAAGCAATAATGTAAGCAGTACATATTAAACACCACTACTATCTAAACTTGATTAAACAAATGTACAACTTTACAATTAAAAATACATTTTCAGGCAAAACTTTGACACTAGGAGTAATATATTCTTGTATGTGCAGGCCACATAGGTCTTAGCTAAAGTGTGTGATTTCAAGGCGCAAAGCATAAAAACGTAGCTTTTGAGAATGAGACTAGACATTTCAGACAGCTTCAAGACGACAAATCAATTAACTCCAAGTACTGGCTTCAATTCAAGCAAAATATGCTGTGTAATATGCAACGTTTCGTGACTTCAATTATCACCTAAAGTCCGTGAAAAGCTGCTTTGGATACACTACACAGGGATTCAATGCCAGGACTTCTGTGTGCGTACAGTATGGTCACTCATTCTTTACTAGATTTCTCTCCCTCCCTGAGACCATATCCACCAATTCTGTGTAATATGAGTTACAGAATCAACAGTTATCTTAAGACATTTGGTAGCACACCCAAACCGTCTGATTTTAAGAGACTTATTGAACTTTGGCTTCGACCAGGCCAGAGGACATAACCTGACCGTGAGTGCTGACACAGCTGCCTGTGTGCCGCAGCGCCTCGGCTCCGACGTAGGCCATCAGGAGCTCGGTGCGGCGCATGAGTAACTGCAAGAGGTCTGCGGCCAAGGTCTCGGTGCTGGAATAGCGTACTTTCTCGAAGTCAAAAATGTCTTTGAGGAAGAAAAGAACCTGATTCTGTAAAATAAGCACAAAACAAATTGGCACTTACTAGACCAAACTTATATTACCTCTAAATAGTCACTAATGTTGTCACATACATTGCATTAGGAGTCAGAAATCCTGAGTTCCAATGCTGGTTTCTTATCCCATTGGAAAGGGGTCATTGAACAAATGATTAGACCCCTTTGGGTCTCATTTTCTTTTACTGTAAAATAAGGGACAATATTTTGTGTCTTTTTTTTTTTTTTTTTACCACTCAAGGTTGATGTTATGATAAAAAAAAAAAAAAAAAAAAAAAAAAAAACAACAACAACAACAACAGCAGTCTGTAGAAAATGCCTGTAAACCCTAAAGCACTGCATAAAGGTAAGGGGCTATTATTAGTTCTTTCCCAATAACTGAGGTTTTCAATGCTACCTATGAGCACTGGTACTACTTTAAACTATTCGCAATCATTATGATGTATAAGTTTTAAATGTACACTTTTCTGTACATAAAAAAAAATAGGATACATGCAAAATAAAAATAATTTCAGAAGCAAATGGAACAGACTGGAATCTCAGAGGGAAGGCAGGGGTGGATGGGTGGATGGGAAGAGATCAATCAAAGAGCTTCTATGCATATTTACATAATCCACGGACACAGACAATAGTGTGGTGAAGGCTAGGGTGGCCTAGTAAGAGGGTAATGGGATGGGGGAAAAAGAGGACATAATGTAGTACTTTTAACAATAAAGATTTTTAAATAATAAAAATATTTCATTGCAGTAAGTTAATATTTTTTCGGCTTAACTCTTTTTTTTAATTAATTTTTTTTATAGAGAGGAAGGGAGAGAGATAGTTAGAAACATCGATGAGAGAAAATCATCAATCAGCTGCCTCCTGCACTCTCCCTACTGGAAATGTGCCCAAAACCAAGGTTCTTGCCCCTGACTGGAATCGAACTTGGGACCCCTGAGTCCGCAGGCTGATGCTCTATCCACTGAATAAAACCAGTTAGGGCCAGTAAGTTAATATTTATGCTGAAACTCATTATAAGCAAGTTGAACTACTAAGTATTAAGTTTCTGGCTATTATGCCAAGATGAAAATTAAAGTAATTCCAAAGAGTAAAAACAGGAATATTTATTCCTATCCTATAGAAATCAAATGTTACGAAGTACTAAAAAGCCCAGAGGGCTGGTGTGGTTCAATGGTTGAGCGTCGACCTATGACCAGGAGGTCATGATTTGATTCCTGTCAGCGTACATGTCTGAGTTGTGGGCTCGATCCCCAGTGTGGGGCATGCAGCCGATCAGTGATTCTCATCACTGATATTTCTCTCTCTTTCTTCCTCTCCTTCCTCTCTGAAATCAATTAAAAAAAAAAAATTAAGAAAGGAAAAAAAAGAAGTACTAAGAAGGCACACCTCTCAGAATCATCAGATGTTGTAACTAGAAGGCTCATTAGCAATTGATCTGTCAATTTTAATGAAGAAAAGGAGGACAAGGCATGATTTTCCAAGAGTCAGACTGTTCACTGTGACAGACTTAATTCCCAGGCCAGACTTTCCCCACTAAACACATAGCTTACCTTACATCTGGGAGGTCAAGTAAACTTGTCAAAAAAATAAGGAGTTTTAAATGATAGTAAAATAAACATTTCCTAATCATTTACATAAATGCTATGTTAAGGCACATAAACGTATTTTTATTTTTTTAATGAAGGATAGAGTGAAACAGCCAAACTTTCAAGCATCAAACACTTTCTAATTCATACTTGTTATATTGACTTTTCTATTTGTTCCTTGAAATTCAGCCTCAACTGAAGGCTATTATTATAGAATAGTGAGACTTTTCTTGGCACTGTGCTCACCAGGAACTTCTGCAATGAGCTGCAATAATATAAATTATTATTTGGCAAATTTAAACTGCTGATGGATACAACTTTAAACCCGCATGTTATTTCTCACAACTGGGATTTTGTCATTCATATTACCTTGAACCAGGACTTCTTTCTAAATTGCCACAGAAGCAATAAAGACAAATATTATTTATTTTAAGAATTTCAAAAGCATTCAGGTACGAAGAACAAGCTGTCTTCAGCAATCTATACACATAAAACCCTAATATGCAAATAGACTGAACAGTGGAACAACTGATCAACTGGTCGCTATGGTGTGCCCCGACCACAGTTTGGCAGCAGGTGAACAGGGGCACCAGACCAAGATAGAACGCTGGTCACTGTTATTGGGCAAGCCTCTGGTGGTTACTGAAAATTCTCTGCTCCCGTGCACTGCGGTCCTGCCCGGTGCTGACAGCTGCTGCTGCTGCTGGCCCTGCTCGCACTCGCTGCTGGCGCCCGGTGCCAACCTCCATCACTTGGCGCCATCAGCCGGTGCCAGCAACAGCACGGTCAGTCGCCCCTCAGGGCGTCTCCACCTCCACCTACTCCTGAGGGGCGATTGAGGTAGCAGCCACCACTCGCACCGGCTGTTAGTGCCAGCCCCCATGGCTCTCCGCCGTCAGTGGGTGCGGGCGGGGCTGGCGCTGTCAGCATGTGGGAGCGGTGGGGCGGGAACAGGGCTGCCGGCAGACAGGGGACCAAGGGCCTCAGCGGGAGGGGCCGGCGGGGGCATGGAGGTGGGCCCTGTGCCCACTGCAATCTTGCAGCCCACCGTTCATTTCAAGGTGCATGAATTCGTGCACTGAGCCCTAGTTTAACTCCAACATCATGACTCCACCGGAGATCGTGCGTCTATCACAGATGCTCAAGGTGATGAACCTGCATCTACTGCAGGAAAAAGCACCGAACTATATAATACCGATCTACCTGCACTAAACACTGAATTCAGGTGACTTTGTAACGTCACCTTTAAATAACATTCTCTCTTCTACAAATGCAAACAAACAAGCAAACCAAACAGAAAATATCTTACTGGATTTTTTATTTAGAAAAAAGAAATGGTTCAATGACTGGACATACCTTAAAGAAGCAACATAAATCATAGAGAGAATTTCTAGGGCCCAAAAAGCCCCAGGCTAGGACAGGACTGATGTGCTCACAAATGGCATAAAAATGAGCAAAAAATCCATCAGGGATCTGTTGGGAAGTAAAAGAAAATCGAGTTATTTTTACCTTTTTAAATCTGCTTTTTCTTTAGAAACCTAAATTGCTATCCATCATCTTTTGAGGGGAAACCAAATTTCAATGATGAGCCAGCCTAATAAGAAAATAAACTTACAAGTAACTTTCAGTCACAGAATATTTTCTGTGAATTTCATAACCTAGCCAATAGTTTCAAATATGCTGAGAAGCAGTATTTCTTAAAGGCATTTTCACTTCATAAAAAAAAATCATCAGTGTTGTAACCAAATAAAAACAAGAATGGCACAATGTTCCTTAGCAGTATAATTTTTAGGATTAAGGAGACCGCCATGGTTTTAGCTATTAAAAAATTCTACGCAAGCACTTAATTAGATTATCTGAAAAAGACTAAAACAAATTTTAAGTGATTAAGTACAAAATAGTGCTCACTAGAATCCTAACTTTTCATTAAGGAACCAGCTATTATTGAAGCATTTAATTGTGAAATTGCCTCTTGTGAAATAGTAAAACATAGAGTTGTGATTTAGGAAACTCTCGAAGATTATTAATAACTTGCTGAATGCCCCTGGTTAAATAAGGTCCTATGGGATTTGTCATAGCATCTACGGGGGATAACTGTGCCCTAAGGTTCTGCCTCCTGGCGGGGTTATTTTCTATTTTATAGGTTCTAGGACATCTAAACCTCAATTTAAGAAACATATTATAGCAGCAATTACCATTTAACGAGTACTCATTATATTCCAGATAATGTGCTAGTTCTAGCTAATTTAATAAAACGTTCCTGAAAAAGCAGGTCATGTAAACACTTTAATATGTAAAATGTGATACTTCAGAGAGATTACCCCGCCCTAAATCACACGTAGCTCACCAATGAAGGCCAAAACGCTATATGGGATGCATTGAAGTTATTACTACAGGATGAGATGTCCTGCATAAATTAAAATTCTAAACCCTACACAGATTCTAAGCGTATTAGGCTTTCAGATAGTTAGCATAGGCTGAAGTAGAAGGGACATGCTTCCCAAGGAATAATTGTTGAACTGAACTAAACAGCAGGTAAGATTTATTTAAGAATAAAGACTAGAGTATGGCATTCCAGGTATAGAAAATAGTTCCCCAATAGGTTTCTGTGGATACACAAAGAAGACTAAGGCCCAAGATTCATGCTTTAAAAAAAAAAAAAAAAAGTGAGATATAAAGATAATGTTATAATTATGGAAACTATAATTATTAAAATCTTTGTAATAGTTACTCTTAATTTTATGTTTAAATTAAGCTTGTTGATATAATCTCATTTCATCCGTAGAACAGCTCTATGAAAGAGCATTAACTCCATTTTGCAAACAGGAAAACTGAACGTCAGCTGATAGTAACTTCCCCATCATCAATCGTATGGACTATGTGAGAATCAGACCCAGTCTACAAGTCTGTCCCCCAGACCAGTGGCTCTCAAGCATTACAGTTTATAATAATCAGGGAATTTGTTTAAAACACCAGGTGTTTAGAATCATTTTAAATAAGAATTACAAGCAGAATATAGAAACCCTCCCAGCTGAGACATTTCTGATCCTCATAGCCAATTGGCTTGGAGATCAACGCCTCACAGTGATACCAACAACAAGCAAGGCTTAACAATACGACTGCACACACAGCCCACAAAGGGATACACCAAGACTGTCCACCTCAGGTAATTGGGAGGCTGACTCATTGAACCATATAGAACACCTTAGCACACAAAGCCACCCTACCAACTCAGGGAAGCTTTGAAAATGTTGAGACAAGGAAACAGATCACAAACAAAAGAAATGGAGGAAAAAAAGAGACTGGATATAGAGTTCAAAATCACGCTTATAAGGTTTTTCAAGAATTTCCTAGAAAAGATGGATAAGACCTAGGAGGATATGAAAAGGGATCAACAAGAAATAATAAGGGATCAACAAGAAATAATAAGGGATCAACAAGAAATAAAGAATACATTGTCTGAAATAAAAAATATTATACAGAGTCCTAAAAACAGAATGGAAGATCGCAAGAATCAAGTCAAAGATTTGGAACATGAAGAGCCAGAAGACACTCCTCCACAGAAGCAAGAAGACAAGAGAATCCAGAAAGTTGAAGATAATGTAAGAAACCTCTGGGACAACTTCAAGCGAACCAACATCAGAATTATGGGGGTCCCAGAAGATGAGAGAGAGCAAGATACCGAAACATACTGAAAGAAATAGTGACAGAAAACTTCACCCACCTGGGGAAAGAATTAGACTTACAAGTCCAGGAAGCACACAGAACTCCAAACAAAAGGAATCCAAAGAAGACCACACCAAGACAAATCATAATTAAAATTCCAAGAGCAAAAGACAAAGAGAGAATAATAAAAGCAGCAAGAGAAAAGCAGGTAGTTACCTATAAAGGAGCACCCATACGAATGTCAGCTGATTTCTCAACAGAAACCATGCAGGCCAGACAGGAATGGCAAGAAATATTCAAGGTGATGAATAGCAAGAACCTACAGCCAAAAATAATCTACCCAGCAAAGCTATCACTCAGAATCGAAGGCCAGATAAAGAGCTTCATAAATAAAAAAAAGCTAAAGGAGTTCATTACCGCCAAACCAGAATTATATGAATTGCTAAAGGGGGTTCTTTTGGAAGAGAAAGAAAATGAAGATAAAAACTATGAACAACAAATACTATCAACAAGTGAATCTAAAAACCAAGGGAATTTAAAAAAAATCTGATGAACAATATTAACTGGTGAATAAATAGAATCAGAGGTATGGAAGGGAAGTAAACTGATGATTCTCGGGGAAAAGGGGAGAGGGGGGTGTGGGAAGAGACTGAACATAAACTCTGCATCTATGAATGAGGACAATGCGGGGTGGGGAAAGGGCAGAGTGTGGGGTGGGAACCTGGTGGAGGGGAGCAATGAGGAGCGGGGGGAGAAATGAGGAACAATAATATGAACAATAAAGATTTACTTAAAAACAAAAGGGGAAAAAAATAAATAAGAATTACTCAAAGACAGGCTCGCCAGAATTATTTTTAAGAAGCCCCTTCTGAAGATGCTGTGAGAACTGTGTTTTGAAAACACTGTCCTTGGCAATACCATCTCAAAGTTACAAGAATAAGACTGAGTAATATAGATATAATTTAAAAAAAAAAAAAAAACAACACTACAGGTAAGTATGCAAATAATAATAATAATAGAATAACCAATACTTGCAAAATGTACTATGCCAAACATGGTTGTAAGCACTATACACTTTATCTTCAAAAACCCCATGTGGTAGATACTATACTCTTTTTGAACGATGAGGAAACGAAGGCACAGAGAGGTTATGGTGGGTAAATGGCATTTGAACCAGCCAGCCTCCCTCCAGAGTCCATGCCGTTACCACCGAAGTGAATGCTGAGAGCAGCCTGCAGTGGGCGAGATGGGCTGAAGGGTGTACAATGTGGAGGCAGGATAGAAATTTTGAGACTTATTTTGTGGAGCCTCTCATTTGAATAAGACAGCTATTAGAATCAAATCATTATTTCTCAATTGGATTACATAAAGTGGAAACCAGTATATTAAACAATTTTTAATTGTTTAATTCAGACTAAAAAATAATCCCATTTACATCACACACAAAAAAAAATTTAAGATACCTAGGAATAAACTTAACTAAGGAGATAAAAGTAAGTTTTCCAGTAGTTGGAAAACTACAGGACACTGTAAAAAAAGATAGAGGAAGACATAAACAGATGAAAGAACATACTATGTTCATGGATTGGTAGAATCAACATAATTAAAATGTCCATACTACCCAAAGCAAACTATAGATTCAATATAATACCTATTAAAATACCAACAGCATATTTTACAGATCTAGAACAAACTCTCCAAAAATTCATCTGGAATAAAAAAAGACCAAGAATAGCTGCAGCAATCCTGAGAAAGAAGAACAAAGCAAGTGGGATTCATTACCAGATATCAAGCTATATTATAAAGCTACTTGTCAAAACAGCCTGGTACTGGCACAAGAACAGACATATAGACCAATGGAATAGAATAGAGAACCCAGAAATCGACCCAAACACTGTGCTCAATATTTCACAAAGGAGGCAAGAACATACAATGGAGTCAAGACAGTCTCTTCAATAAAGAGTGTGGGAAAATTGGACAGATTTACGGGGGGGAAAAAAAAAAGAAAAAAAAAAAGAAAGAAAGAAAGAAAGAAAGAAAGAAAGAAAGAAAGAAAGAAAGAAAGAAAGAAAGAAAGAAAGAAAGAAAGAAAGAAAGAAAGAAAAAGAAACTAGACCACCAACTTACTTTATACACAAAAATAAACTCAAAATGGATAAAGGACTTAAACATAAGATGGGAAACCATAAAAATACTAGAGGAATCCACAGGCAGCAAAATCTCAGACATATGTTGAAGCAGTGTCTTTACTGATACAGCTCCTAGGACAATGGAAACTAAAGAGAAAATAAACAAAAGGGACTACATCAAAATAAAAAGCTTTTGAATAGCAAAAGAAACCATCAACAAAACAACAAGAAAGCCCACTGTATGGGAGAATATATTTGCAAATGTTATCACTGATAAATGTTTAATTTCCAAAATTTACAGGAAACTCATACAACTTAACAAAAGGAAGATAAACAACCCAATCAAAAAATGGGCAGAAATATATGTACTACTATATGTAATGCTTTAAACAATAAAAAAGGGGAGGCAACAAACCTAAATAGATACTTTCCAAAAGAAGACAAAAGGAAGGCTAAGAGACATAGGAAAACATGCTCAAAGTCACTAATTATCTGAGGGATGCAAATCAAAATGACAACGAGGTACCATCTCACACCTGTCAGAATGGCTATCATCAACAAATCAACAAATGACAAGTGCTGGTGAGGATGTGGAGAAAAAGGAATCCCCATGCACTGCTGGTGGGAATGCAGACTTGTGCAGCCACTGTGGAGAACAGTATGGAGTTTCCTCAAAAAACTAAAAATGGAACTCCCATTTGACTCAATGATCCCACTTCTAGGAATATATCCCAAGAAACTAGAAATACCAATCAGAAAGGATATATGCAACCCTATGTTCATAGCAACATAATTCACCATAGCTAAAATTTGGAAACAGCCTTGCCCATCAGCAGATGAGTGGATTAAAAAACTGTGGTACATCTATACAATGGAAAACTATGCTGCGGTAAAAAAAGCAAGGAATTCTTACCATTTGCAACAGCATGGATAAAACTAGAGAGCATTATGCTAAGTGAAATAAGCCAGTCAAAGATAAATATCACTCGATCTCACTCATTTTTGGAATTTAATGAACAACATAAGCTGATGAACAAAAACAGATCCAGGAACAGAGAAGCATCAAATCAGACAGTAAAACCTCAGAGGGAAGGTAGAAGAGGGTGGAGGTAAAGGAGAGAGATCAACCAAAGGACTTGCATGCATGCATATAAACCTAACCAGTGGACACAGACACCAGGGGGGTGAGGGCATGAGTGGGGGTTGTAGGGGCAATGGAGTGATAAGGACACATATGTAATACGTTAATCAATAAAGAAAAAGAAAGACTTAAAACATCATTAAGTGGGAAAAACAAAAATCAAAACTCTATCTGAAGTTTCCAACCCTGAACCCTCTCCCACTTAGCAGAAACCCCATGCATGCCTCAGTACTTGCTATATGAACTCTACAGAAAGTTAAGGAAGAGAGAAAGAATTCAAAAAAGAAGAAGCCAATCATGTACCAATAAGTCTCTCATCTAGCTTTAAAGACGGTCCTTATGACCCATCATTCCTACTTGAGAATGGACTTGGATGTTTTTTTGACAGGAGCCTTGAATTACTTATCAAAGAAGTCCAAGGTATTTTACCTTCATCTGTTGCCTTTTCTGTTTCAGCACCGACCAACAACTTGAAGCCACAGCCTAAATATATGCAGATACAAAAAAATAAGTCTTAAATTCATAACTATATAAACTTTCCATTTAGAAAAGTGATTTTTATTAGAAATTCAAAATTGATGGGTTTAAAATGTTCAAAACATTAACTACTAAGAACTAGTCCAAGTTCCTTCTACTGTCTGCAAATATTAATATACTAGTAAAAGTTTTGTCTTTATAAATTTAACAATTAAATACAAACTCTCTAAAGAAAAAAGGCTGAACTCTGGTACCAATGACACTGGCAATTAGAATTCAACTCTCAGAGTTCTTAAGTTCTGTTCCTATGTGAAAAGAATACATATATATCTATAATAATAAAAGCATAATATGCTAATTAGACCAGATGTCCTTCTGGACAAAGCCAGGGCTGCAAGGGAAGCCAAGGTCCCGGGTGCCGGCAGCTGGGGGAAGGAAGGCCTACTCTTGCACAAATTTCGTGCATCAGGCCTCTAGTATATATATGTGTGTGTGTGTTTATCTCTCCCCATAGATGCACATATACAATAAATGTTTTGTGCATAACAATGAAAACAAAGTACTTTTTTTTTTTTTTTTTTTAAAGAATAGCACTGCTGGAAATAACTGGGTAAAGCTAGCAGTTTTATCCAAATTAAAAACTAAAAATACAACCATAATGATAGGGACGAAACACCCACCTGGATCCTGAAGAAATCTGACCCTACTCTGGCATGACCCAACTTTAATCAAGGTCAGTTTACCAAAGTAGCTATGGAAATGGAGATAGCATGTACCTCTTGTGGTTAAAACACACTTTGACCAGAATCGAACCTAGGATCCTTCAATCCACAGGCCGATACTCTATCCACTGAGCCAAACCTGCTAGGGCTGTTTTAAAATTTAATATCAGAAATTTGCAAAATAATTATGACATAGCCCACTGGAACATTTTATTAAAGGTTTCAAACTTCATCATGAATATCTATTCCTTACTTCCAGGTACACACTTAAAGCCCAACCAAAAAAAAAAAAAAAAAAAAAAAAGTCAAATAGAGATTTGAGTATGAAAAACAACAGAAACTAAAAACATTCAAAATTTATAGTTTAAAAACCCGTTTTTTGGGGTAGGGACACATGCCTGGCTACTCCTTCCCCTAATTTTATAATATTTGGATATTTGGGAACACGAATCTCCATATTTTACTTAAAAAATTTTATATATATATATATATATATATATATATATATATATATATATATAGTCTTTTGACCGCAACTGCTATATTTCAGTTTAGTCATGGCGCCATTACAGTTACAGACAATTTTTTATTAGGTCCAAAGTAGTCTGAAGCTTGAGGTATTTTGTTTTTATTTTTAGATCTAAAGAAATACTGTCTATTTCAGGTCAAGGCAAGGACTGATAGAAAAGCGAAAAAGGAAATTTCATCTGAAGACATATATTCTACACATCTGACCCCAATGTGAAAAGATGAATCACTGTCCACACTAGTCATTCTACAGGTAATATACATGTAAATCTTATTAATCTTCCCAGTTCTGACTGTTTTTCATTAAATTTACATGGTTGAGAAAGAAAAACACACACACTACTTACAGTTTCTTTGAAGGATGAGTTTAGCCAGCGATTATTTACTACATTCTGTATGGACGTGGGTGGGTTTTCTAAATCTTCAAAGGAATCCATTAATATAAAATCCAGAACAACATCATAAAAATTTAGATTTTTGACCTGCATTAAATTATGAGTTAAAACAGAAATTATTATTATTACATAGATCTTAAATGAAATCTGAGCCAGGGCTTCAGACTTTTATAACAGCTGAGTGCTTTTAGTGGAATCAGATTATATCTCTGACAAAAAGAGAGGAAGAGGAGAGACCAATATGAAAACAACTCAACCCCAGAAATTACACTTCCCATGACAGGTGTTCCTTCCTAGATCCATCCCATCAAGTGAAATTAATCTTCCCTTTCACTCTATGCTAGGAGTTCTCTGTTCCTGCTTTCATTATGGTATCCACAAAGCTCACTCTGCTTTGTCACTGAGTTATTGGTGTATCTGTCCTGCCCATAACATCACGAACCTCTTGCTCTTTCATTCATTCATGCATAGTGTGCCAGGCGCTCAGACTTCTAGAGTAAGCAAACCAGATGCTTAGTTTAGTGGGAAAAACAAACAGCAACAAAAAATCCCTCAAAAACACAGTTATAAACTGCGATAAGGACAGTAAAGGAAGAAGTACGTGGTACTATGAGAGGCTACGGTGGAGCCTCTAACCTAGACTGGATGTCACAGAGGGCTTTCTTTAGGGAGGCATCCAGGTACAGAAGACACCTTAGCAAGGACTTTAAGGTAAGAAGGAACACAGCGATGCTGTGTGCTACGGCCCGCTATAGCAGAGGGCACAGAGGCACACGGAGGAGGGGGCAGCTCCTGAGAGTTTATGGCCCAGGTGGATGATTTTGGATTTCACCTTCGCAGTATTTTAGGGGGCAGTGGTGGAGGAGAGATGGATGATTAGGTTGTGTTTTTTAAAGACCGTTGGGCAGCACTGTGAGAGTGGAATGGAGAAGAGGAAGAGTGGATGCAGGGAGGGGAGGAGTGGGCAGGGAAGACTGAGGTAGCCCAGTAAAGCCTGTAGTTACTCACACTACAGTGGGGCTGCCAGGAATAGAGAAAACTTGAAGAAACTGAAAGATATTTAGAAGTTAAAACTGACAAAAAGCAAGAGAGGAATACGATGAAGTAGGCGAAGACCAGGTCTCTGAAGGAGGTGTGAAGGGGAAGTCCCAGGTCTCTGGCCTGCACAACGGAATGGTCACCAATTCTATCACCAAATGAGGGAACACCAGAGAAGAAAAGATTATGCCTCTGTGTCTCTGTACTTACTGTTTTCTCTGCCCAGAATGCCTCTTTACCTCTTGCAAACTCATTCTTTAAGCTCCCATTACAACAAAATGTTCCAGGCTCATCACGTACTTTCCCTATCCCAGTGCTGAGATCAGCCATTTTCCCAGAATTCCCTGCAGTTGTGAATGGAACTTAGAAGCCAAGAACTGTGTGCCCTTGAGGAGTAATTTCTTTAAGGTGCAGCTGCTCCCAAACCTTCTCAGTGAACAGAGCTGAGAAGTACATATGTTTATACATGTGCAAGCCTTTATATTTATTTCTATCTCTATTTATACTTATTATAAACTATGAATTCACGCTATTAGCTCCAAGTCTAGCCCTGGCTTTTTATACGTCCCTTCTCCGACAGTAAGTAGCCTGGCTCCAATTATTCTCAATATACACTGGGTGGGCAGATTATTATGATCTCTGAACACATAATAATCTGGCCACCCAGTGTATATCCTATATAATAAAAAGATAATATGCAAATTTTGTTCCCTCGATCAGGAGTTTGACCAGCAGGCAGGCTGGCCAGATTATTATGCGTTCAGAGATCATAATAATCTGGCCACTCAGTGTATTGTTTGTTTGATCCTGTATATGTAGCCAAAACCCTGCCCATCTGAAACCCTCTCAGCACAGGCCACCCCTACTGCCCTGGTAAGGCCTGCTCCTGACCTTCAGAAGGAAGCGAAGAAGGAAGGGAAGGAGGAAGGGAAGGAGGAAGGGAAGAGAAAGGCTTTAAAAAAAAAAGCAATACTTTTCAACTGTTGCCCCAATGTATAAACCCTATTGCTGCTATTGTTTATGTATCTGCCATTACTACTACCACACAATTGGTTTTACTATCATTTAACAAGGACAAAAAAACAAAAAACAAAAAAACAAAACAAAAACAAAAACCCAGCGGCCTCAAATTATGTAAATATTATGTGTAAATAACCAAGGGGAATATAATTTAAAAAAATTGAACTTACTCCTTTAGCAGCAAGTTCCATTTCAGTACTATCCCAGTGATCAGTCTGTTCTAAAAAATAGATCATTTCATCAAAAACATCTTCAAACTTCTTTGGATTCTGCAGAAGAAAACACACTTTCACCCTAAAACTCAACCTCATAACAAGGATCAAGCCTGCAAAGTACATGTGTTACTTTTAAAGTCAATTTTTGCTAGATCTCCACTCGATTAGGTTACTGAGTTAAAATACATTTTCCAGGTACACCATATTCATTTGGTTTAACATTTTGTTGCCCCAACATTTTGAAGAAGCAAAAACTACGAACATTTGTAAAATGTCATAAGCGAAGTGCCTAATACTCAAACATGTACGCTTATGTAGGTCAGCCCTTACGGTGAAAGCTTGGTCACAGAAGACACCATCTGATGCTTTTGAGGCACTTCACCTCTTACAGGAGGAACTCTAGTTCAAACCACCTATCTGCCATGGAAGGCCAAGAAGGCACCATAAATTGACAGTGGGAATTGCAAGTAGGTAATATCATCTTTCATTTATTTTACACTTTGTAAAAAAATTTGTGTTCCCAATTATCATTTCTTTAATCATCATAACAATCCTCTGAAATAGGGTACCATAAATATAATTTTCTTATTCAAATGATGGGATTGAGGTTCAAATAGATTGGGTCTGAAAGCCAGGTGTTCAAAGGGTTCAAGGAAAGAAAGCCTGTGTTAGTTTGGTTTTCTTCATCATCTGGACACACCTTGCATTCGGAAAAGTGGTTCCTTATAGTTTTAAAGAAGTTCTTTTCATTGTTTCTGACTCAGCCAGCCCCGTGAAGATGAGGGAGAGGAAGAGGCAGCTCAATTTGCATTTGCAGATTTCTGAGATCTATATTATTTCCTGGAGGCTTCTTACTGAACAGAATTAAGGGAGCTAAGAGAAGAGGTATTCAAAATAATTATAATGGTGATTGTTAGCAGATCTAATGATGATGCTCACCATGACATTCATAGATCTTATGGCAAAGTGGGAATAATTTATGATAAACAACTGGATCAAAACAGAGTGGGCTTTATACATAGAAAATAATTCAGCCCAAGCCGAAATCAATGCTCTTTGGGTTATTTTTTGTGAATCTTTGCATCTACAAAAACTATTTTTTCTATTAAAAATTAAATGCATTTTAATCATCAGTCCAACAGAAACAACTATGAAAATACTTGCCAACAAAACAGGTTACCTTTCGTGCTTTCACAATTAACGCTGATAAAATTTTCCTCCCACTCTCAGCAAGGAATATCCTATTGGCTGTTTCTGAAAGAATAACCTGAAAAAATATCCATCCCCACACAAAGAAAAAAAGAGACCTGTAATGAATTTGAATAGACACTTGACTGTATGGCACAGTGGTTGGCAAACTCATTAGTCAACAGAGCCAAATATCAACAGTACAATGATTGAAATTTCTTTTGCGAGCCAAATTTTTAAAATTTAAACTATATAGGTAGGTACATTGTTATTAACTTAATTAGGGTGCTCCTAAGCTGGCCTTTGCTAAAACCTCAAGGGGCCAAAGAGCTGCGTGTGGCTCGCCAGCTGTGGTTTGCCAACCACTGGTATAGCACATCTAAGCACAAATAACCCTAATACAGTTAATGCATTGTATATGGCACTATTTCAGACCACAGAGAAAGCTCTAATTTACTAAAATAAAATGAGTTCTTAAAACCTGTACTAAAAAAAAAGATTAAAGGGAGATAAATCTGAATTTAAATTCTGTTCAATTTAATATTAGAAAGTCCAAAATAAATGATACATAGCCCCAAAATGTAAGAAAATAAAGATAATTTTGTTGTTTAACAACCTTATTTCATTTTAAGGAAACCAATAATTTTACAAATGATTCAAATAAAAAATGATCTAGAGCACATACTAATAATTGGTAATTTTAAAAAGTAGGATTTTTATTTTAAGCAGCCATTTGTACACATCTGCAGCATCAAAATATCCTGTTTTGACAAAGTGAGATGGACCTGGGAAGCTATGGGAGAGGACAATGGCAAATGAAGCCAAATGAAGGGAAACAGGAGGCAGGAAACATAAACTTGGTGGGCTTTATATTTGCCGTCAGGAATAACAATAACAAGAGCAAAGAGCTGTCCTGTTTATATGCGGCTGGACTCTATAGCACGAGGATGGGGTGAGTGGCTGGGTAAAGTCACTTAATGTTTAAAAATAATACCTGAAAAGCCTGTCGTATGCAGTGAAGTTTGGCAAGAAAATCACTGTCTCCTAGGCACTCCAGCATTTCAGTTCTATGTAAATAAACAGGGGAGACAACTGTTACACTGTATCCAAGATCAAGGCTACTACAAATTTGGATTCAAACAAGGCTTAACCTCAGGAACTTAACATGAAACACATGTCTTTTCAATACTGACAAAATATGTAAAAAAAATTTTTTTGAGCCTAAAAATATACTTTTCCCTATTCTCATTAACATTTTAAATAAATATCATACAAGCATAGCAATAGTACCTTAACATTTTTCATAAGCATAAGCTAAACTGAAGCGGTACCTCAGCACTCTTGAGTAAATTTTTCCTTCTTCAACTAAATGCATGGCTTCTTCATAAAAAGGGCAGTGGCAAAGAGACTCCAGACTATAAGAATGTCGGACTTCTCTGTGTTCTGCAAGCTAAGCATTACAGTGGGTTAGAACAGACTGCAATGATATAGGGGGAAAAAAACTATGAACAATAGAAAATCAGATCTCACTAATATCAAAAATACTCAATTTGATAAAGCCATAAAAACTATTCAATAAGATTTCAAAGCTATCATTTAGAATGATAAAGATAAAGAGCTTCCCAGACAAGAAAAAACTAGAGGAGTTCATCACCACCAAATCAGTATTACAAGAAATGTTAAAAGGTCTTCTTTAAAAAGATTTAAAAGAGGTAAAAAATATTAATAAAATGATAAGTACTTATCTATTAACAATTACTTTAAATGCAAATAGATTAAATGCTCCAATCAAAAGACATACGGTAGCTGAATAGATAACAAAACAAGACCTTACATATGATGTCTACAAGAAACTCACTTTAGATCAAAAGACACACATACTGAAAGCAAAAGAATAGAAAAAGATCAGAAAAATGGAAACAAACAAAAAAGCTGTGATAGCAATACTTATAACAGACAAAATAGACTTTAAAACAAAGAATGTAGACAAAGAAGCAATTTCACTTTTGGGTATTTACCTGAAGAAACCCAAAGCAGTAATTTGAAAAGACATATGCACCCATATATTCATTACAGCATTATTTACAATAGCCAAAATATGAAAGCAATCTAAGTGTTCATCAATAGATGAATGGATAAAGAAGCAATGCATATATACAATGGAACAGAACTCAGCCATAAAAAAACAATGAAATCTTGCCATCTGAAATAACATGGATGGATCTAGAGGGAATTGTGTTGATTGAAATAAGTCAGACAAAGAAAGACAAATGCCAGACAATTTCACTTACATATGGAATCTATAAAACAAAACAAAACACAAAAAGCAGAGCAGAAACAGAATCATAGATACAAAAAACATTTTGACAGTTGTCAGATGGGAGGGGGAATTGGGAAAATGGGAGAAAAAAGTGAAAGGACTTAAAAGTATAAATTGGTAGTTATACAATAGTCACTGGGGTATAAAGTACAGCATAAGGAATCCTATAAATAAAAGGCTAATATGCAAATAAACTAAACAGCAGAACAACCAAACAACTGGTCGCTATGACATGTGCTGACCACCAGGGGGCACGCATGGAACATGGTGAATGTTGGCAGCAGGCAGCAGAGCGTGGAACATGATGGGCATTGGCCACGGAGGGATGATGGAGCAGGTGAGCGGGAATGCCAGACCAAGATATGGTGCTGGTCGCTGTCATTGGGGTGAGCCTCTGGTGGTTTCTGAAAATTCTTTGCTCCTGTGCACTGTGGTCCTGCCTGGTGCTTGCACCTGCTGCCGGTGCCAGTCTCGCTCACAACGCTGTAGGCATCGGAGCTGCCACTTGCACCCACTGCCAGCGCCTGGCACTGGTCCTGATTGCTCAGCGTAATCAGCGGGTGTGAGCAGCAGCTGTCGGCCCCGATCACCCCTTAGGTATTCTCCACCTCCGCCCGTGTGCCTGGTGCTCACACCTGCTGCCAGCATTGGCCCCACTCCACCCGCTGCCGGCACTGGAGCCACTGCTTGCACCCATTGCAGGCGCCTGACCCTGATTGCTCCTGAGGGCATCTCCACCTCCCCCTGCTCCTGAAGTCAATCAGGGCAATAGCTGCACCCGCTGACAGTGCCCCCCCATTTGCACCCACTGCTGGCGCTGGCTCCAATCGTTCCACACCATCAGCAAGTGAGAGTGGGGCCCAGCATCATCAGCATGTAGGAGCGGCGGCATTGGGAGCAGGATTGCTGGCAGACAAGAGACTGGGGGCTGCAGTGGGAGGGGCTGGGCATGGGTGCGGAGGATGGGCCGAGACCCACCCCTGTGCTCACAGCAGCCTTGCGGCCCACAGTTCCTTTCAAGGTGCACGAATTCATGCACTGGGCCCCTAATATAGTCAATAATATTGTCATAACTATGTATGGTATTAGATGGGTACTAGATTTATTGGGCTATCATTTCATAACTTATATTAATGTCTACTCAGGATGTTGTACATCTAATACTAATATAGTACTGCACATCAACTGTAAATTAATTTTTTAAATAATAATTAAAAAAAAAAATCAAAGTCAACCGGAGATGAGAGGTTAGGAAATTCTAAGCTTTTTCCTGCACACATGCATAGCCCTGCCACGTTTGTGGCTGTCTAGATTCCTTGAAATATGCTGGAGATTTTCAAAAACCCGTATAAACATCTCATTGCCCAATGTTTTAAGTTTTTAGGTCAGCCTCTTGTAGCCCTAGCTGGTATCACCAACTCAGTCAGCTGCAATGTTAAATTATCACTAATTGTTTTCAACAAAGGCCCAAGGGACAGAACTCTTTGTACAGAGCAAGCTCTAAGTTAGGTCAAATGAAAGACAAGTCTTGAGAATGGAGCTTTGCAAGTCCAATAGTGACAATTCTCCAGGGATGGGGCTTTTGAGAAGCTTCAAAGCCACTAAGTTTCTTCCAGTGGCTGCTGAGCCTCTGCTTTCAAAGTTTCCATAGTTGTGAGACTGTTGACTTTTAAGACTACTGTGAAGAAGGAGATGTGAATAAAGCAAGTTAAGTATCCACAAAGTTCACTATTGAGATTCAGCCATTTTTTAAAACAATGGTCCTTGAATATTTACAAATATTTTATTAATTTTCAGAGTTCTGAAAATTATTATTTTGAAAAGTTTTACTGTTTTTATGCTTTTGTGGAGATATGTAGAGGTTTTTATTCTACTATTCTAAAGTATTTCTCTACGGTATAATTCATATTCACTCATTGCTGTGCTAAATGCCTTACCCTGATTATCTCATTTATCCTTTCCAATAATTCATAAAATAGATACTTTTATTATCAACATTTTACAGATAAAAAAACAGTGATTTAGATTAGCAGGCACATGCCCCAAGTCCCAGGACTAAATAGTAGAAGTTAAATTAAACCCAGGCATTTATACCAGAGCTTATCCTCTTTTTAAAAAAAGATTTTGTATTGATTTTTAGAGTGAGAGGGAAAGAGAGAGAGAATCATTAATGTAAGAGTGAAACATCGTGCCGGGACCGGTTTGGCTCAGTGGATAGAGCATCGGCTTGGGGACTGAAGGGTCCCGGGTTCGATTCCGGTCAAGGGCATGTACCTTGGTTGCGGGCATGTCCCCAGTAGGGGGTGTGCAAGAGGCAGGTGATTGATGATTCTTTCATCAATGTTTCTAACTCTCTCTCTCCCTTCCTCTCTACAAAATCAATAAAATATATATTTTTTTAAAAAAGAGTGAAACATCGACTGGCTGCCTCTGCACCCCCCTACTGGGGATCAAGCCCTAACCAGGAATCAATCCTGCAACTGCAGTGCTCGGAATGATGCCCAACGAAGTGAGCTACACAGGCCAAGGCTATACTCTTAAATATCAAACTGTACTCTCCTATCAGCTCTATTCAGAAAGCCAAGGAAGAAAAAGTTCAAGCATCAGCAATATTTAAGGTAGTATAAATATGACTATTAGACCAGAAGCAAAAGGGGGAAAAAGGTAAATGGAGATAATAATATCTGACATCATATATTTCCTGCTTTTAAGTAGTATTTCCCTTCACAGTTTAAGGAAAATATATTATGCTCCTGGAAAGTGTTTGAGGTTAAAAAAAGCAAAAACATAATGGGTTTAAAGAAATAACTTATAATGAAAATTATTTAGATATTGAATAGTTTAAAGTTTTGAAACACTATCAAAACAAACAGGATCTATGTACTCCTACCAATAGGAAAAAATTTTGAGGAAACTGTAGCTCCAATTAAACTCTCCACATAAAATAATTCATACTAATAAGAAGTGAACAAATCCAACAAGATTCCAGAGCCAAGTCTTGATTTATTGGTCTACCTTGCTTATTTGTTGGCTTGGCTGAGGTGATCATTTAACTAGGTCTCTTAAAATAGGATTGCAGCTGTGAAAATACATCATATTGAAGATTCGACACTGGCTAACGTTATCATCAACTCTTCCTAAGAGACAATGACTCAGAAACATTTATTGAATAATGAATCTTGAGTTTTTTTAACAGCAAAAAGCAAATCTAAAACAGTGGCTTAAATTCTCATTTTAGAATATAGTTTCTAGGAAGTATTTTTTGACAAAAATTTCTAAAAACTTTTAAAAGGCTTCCAAAAAAGATTAACATTTTACTAGAGTGAGATGTATCTTCTGAAGCAAGTCAGTAATATGGCTTACATGGGCAATTTACCATGAAAAGGGGTTCTTTTTTCCTAACTGAAACTTTCAAAATGTCCTTTACTTCTAAGTCATTCTTCCCTCAAAAGCATATATTTCAAGAACTTACTTAAAATTTTTCAAACAGAAAAGTAATACTTATTGGTTTCTACCAAAGATATTAGTTATCTCCCATAGTTCACAAGTACCATAAAATGTTCATGTAAGGAATCAAGTCAATAACAACAGCAATAAAAATCGATAAAACCCGCTGAAACCGGTTTGGCTCAGTGGATAGAGCGTCAGCCTGCGGACTGAAAGGTCCCAGGTTCGATTCAGGTCAAGCGCATGTACCTTGGTTGTGGGCACATCCCCAGTAGGGGGTGCGCAAGAGGCAGCTGATGGATGATTCTCTCTCATAGATGTTTCTAACTCTCTATCCCTCTCTCTTCTGCTCTGTAAAAAATCCATAAAATATATTTTAAAAAAAACACAACAACAACAGATAAAACCCAAAGATGTACCAATGAGTACAAATAATGTTTTGGAATTAGCTGAACATTTCCAACATCCTGAATTACTTCTACCTTGCTAGCCCTAGCTGCAAGAAGTACAAGAGAGGTTGACCCTCATCTTCCTTGGCAAGCAATGATTGTGCTGAATATAAGGTAATATGTTTAAAACTTTTATATTTTTAAAAGCCTCTGAACAAACATCAAAGAAATGTCGAAAGTCTCAAAACTAGTATGGGTCATGAAATAGGCTAAGTTTCACTTTAATATGGATTT